ATGCTCGCATCAGAAGTGAGAATCAAGGCAGCAATTCATCTCTAGAGCTTGGCTGCCTGACTGTGCTTTGCTGTGTGACACTTTCTGCAGGCGAGACAAGGCTGTCTTGAGGAGCAGCCGCCAGGGATGCAGGGTGTACCTGCACGAGAAGACCTACGAACCCGCTCGGCGCACCGGTCGCGAGAAGGTGCTCATTCGAAAAGCACCTCGAGGACCTTTCACGCTGAGTTCCAGAACCTGCTGAACGCCGACAAAAAACGAATGGTAGGGCAGTCGCTGGTTGGATGCGGGGGTTTACATGAATAAAACCTCGCAACAAAAAGCACTACTCCGGCGATTTTTGTTTTCTGACGGAAACTAGGACAAAGGAGGGGTAATGGCCAGTTTGGGAAAAAAACATGCACCATGCAATGGATTCAAATACAATTCGTATGATATACTTCTATAGGTTCATATAGATAGTGATGCACGTATCATCGATTATACATCGCACTCATCGCGTTGAAACAAGTTGGCTTTCAAACCAAGCGCTTGCCTGTTATCAAAATCCATAATCAATTTTAATCGGAAAAAAAAAAAAAATTTTTTTTTTTTAATTTGAACAAGAAAATTGGACAAAGTCATGAGAATCAGTACATGTATATATACCACACAGTAGTAAACAGTGGCAAAACAACCAGTAAACAGGGCCTAAACAATCACATACATGAACACACGTACATGCACACGACGTATACGCACACGCAGGCATCAAAACCCCGAGTAACCGATTGTAACCGATCATCGGTTTACTTGGGTCCAAAACCGATGCGATCTATTACGAAATTACAACCGATTGAACAACCACTATATACTTTAGATACAGGATAACTTATTCAGTTAAATATCGAGGAACATTTTCACAAACAGCGATCGTAAATTTGACAACGGCGGTGCGCACTGTGCCTCTCTATGTATAAGAAAACCCTGCTACTGTGAGCATTACTTTGCCGAGTATGCAAACATCACAAAATGTTCTTATTGAGCCAGAAATTGCTCCGAAGTTGACTATTTTCATGCAATTTTGAAACTTATGCTCGCCCGACAAAGTTTCGGCGTACAAGATACACATCTAGAGCCGATGCTGACTGAGAACGGTGCTAACGTTAGGCCTACCGCTAGCGCAAGTAGCTTCCTGGAAAAAAACAACTTGCGGGCAAATTTGTTTGCCTTTGATTGCATAAGTAATGTAGAGATTAACATGATTAAACAAACTTTTAACAATTTTGTATGAAACAAACATTGAAATAATGGGAATAATAACTTGTTCGTATGCCATAGAAAAAGAACTGGTTATTGTTTAATGAAACTGGGCCGGGAAAGTCCCGCCGTTCGGCTATGTTGTTCCCGGTATGTGTAAACACTGTGTGTATAATTGAAAGTAACTAGTTTCGTTAAGACTGTTTTAGCGTTGCTGAAGAAATGTTATGAATAGTAGCAATACAAATGAGTTGTAGTGAAATCTTTTGCAACATAGATGAGACTCACAGTAGCTGACATCTATGCATTTTGCTACGAGAACAAATGCAGTTGAAGTCAGGCATCCTGGATTGCACCACTCCGCGTAACTGGGCGGTTATTATACCTTGGCCGTGTTTACTTCTGATCCGATCTTTTCACCAACTAGAGTGCCTCTCCTGTGAGTAGGCCGTGCTTTGCTTAGAGTTAGACATGTTTTGCGGACCCATTAGTTGGTACAACGTTGCTAGGTTACCCAACTCTCTTAGAGTCGTAGTGTATGTTGCCAGTCGCCTTTCGATGTAACGTCACTCTGAGGGTTTAGCTCGTAAGCACATGCCATTGTGATGCTGTTGCTATTCTAACTATTCAAATTATGTAGTTGCAGTCGGGTAAATAATTTAGCGAAAACTACATCAGCATCTTGTTCGGGTGTCATGGCATTGAGCAGTAATTCGGGCAATTGTGTTTTCCATCATCTATTTGTTTTGACTCGTGTTTTGGGACCATCGTAAAGTTTTGCATTTTCGTTGATGCTAACAATATATGTTCTTGTAGCTGTGGGATGATATTTCTAAGTTCATGGACCACACTGCTGCTAACTAGTTGCAGTTAAAAGTTCAGCCACCTGTTTTAAATAGTGGAAGTGACTGTGTTGTGCAATTGTCTTTTTGCCTCTGGGCTTACTTTTTAAGAGCTCAAATATCTTTGTTAGTGACTCCCAAGCTGAATGCTTATGTAAGTTTATGGCTTAAAGCTGGCAGTGCCTAAAAAAAAGTTGAAGAACTTGGCACCGGGACGACAGTTTTCTGCGTGTGATGAAATGAAAAGGGAATGCATTTCCCTCAGGGAATGCTACTTCGGTCATCGGCTACGCGTTGGATCATTGTCTACAGTTCAGCAACGCTGAGAAGTTTAGCGCCTTGGTTGCCTGGGGGTTCCAACCTTTTTTAAGTGGTCATGATTAAGATTCTGTGAATTTTGGCATTGTTAAGCATTGGAAAACAGATGGCTTAACACCGCGTGCCCGAATTTCGCGTAGGTATGTTGTATGTTTGGTGTGAGGCGTGTATAATGAGGGATGTTAGTTATTATAACTTATTAGTGGCGCGACACTCTACGACGGCTTGTTCCATTTAGGAATACACTGTAAAAGAAGCTAGATTACTTTTGTGTTTTTGCTGGCTTCAAAAAATGATTTTCTCTGCAATCTGTTGCGTGACCCACGCATCCCATTAGCTTAGCAACTCACACCGGGCTGGGGTGCAATAGGTGTTCCGGGGGTGTGGGGCTGTGTGATGATATACGAGACAGCTGCCCCCTCTTAAATATATGCATGTCTTCCCACGATCAATTATGCATCATTCGTATTATTAAAATGCGCTAGCCCCTGCGCCGGCTATTGCTACCAAGGTTCGGTTTTATGAGATCTTTCCTCACCATCGGTGCGGAATCTGTGAAACCTAGCTTTTGAGTGCAGTAGATGAGAAGGCAATCTGTCCCGTTGGTATATTTTATGGATGTGCGCGTTCGGTGGAGGTGTCTTACCCCTCTTCCGAGTTATCACCAGATTATGCACATTTGTGCACGTGAGAACTGTTGTACACTTTCGCTGCCCGGGGCGCCGCGCCGGCGCTTCATGCTTTCTCCGAGAATTAAAAAAACGTAATGTGAATTTTGAAGTGCTGGCTTAAATTGGACTACGTCCACGATCTTTCTATATGTATTATTTGTAAAGACAAAAATTTGTGAACATTAATTTTACATGAAAAGTACATTCTTACTAATGCGACTAACCATGTCATCCTCAAATTCTTCACTTGATAAGATCGTTTCTAACTAATTAAAATCACAAAAAAAAACACTGGTGGAAATTTCATCATATTTATTCACGACATTAATGCTCTGCGTTATGGTTCTATGTACGAGTCACGGAGTGTTTGCTTCACTTCGATCGGAATAGCAAAATAGGAAGTTATAATTGCAGCACATTTAACCATAAAAAGTGAACAGAATCACTTTACATTTTGTGAGAAAGTGGCCATCATTTTTTTTTATTTTTACGTATTTATGCACGGTGATCGTTAATCACTTCAATAGAGGGACTTTTCTTATTCTCGTAGCTTCTAGTTGCATATTTAGATAGGTTAGATTGTTTCATAAAGAAGGAGGCTGCCTTGTGTGAGGTATGTTGGATAATCGGTAGCCTTGCACAAACCACCTGTCTTTACTGCTGCACAATATTATTGAATGATGCAGTGAATGGTTGTGTCCAGCACCTACAAGGATAGAATTTCGTACCCGTTTTTTAGACCCAAGAGCAGAATTGTTGATTTCAGGTTTCAATCAGAAATATTTAGGGAACCGAGATAGTTTGAAAATGACACCCATATCGAAAAACCTATATGTTTTCCGGACTCTGAAAGATGGTAAGGCGTACATGATGTGGAATACACTTGTGAAGCGAACAGAGGCAAACCAGGCAGGACAGCCACAGTGTGATATTAGGCTAAGTGGGACTTCGTCCAAAATGTTGAGTCAACCGTGGATCTAGGGATAGGGCATGACTACTGAAGATTCAAACCGAGTTGTATTCCACAAGGAATTAGAGTAAAGTTGATGGAGTGCATTATATCCGGCGTTTTGTTATGACTGCGGTGTCTGTCTGTCTGTCTATCTACCTGTCTGATCTGTTGGACCGTCTGTCTTGATCGCACCTGCGTAACTGCTGATAAGCGCGTGTAGTCGAATGTACGGAGACGTTTTGAGCAGAGTTCTTGGGCCCCGCCGCATTGTACCAGCCTCTGTGCTCAAGGTTACCCAGGACGGCCTCGGCAGAGTACTGTCGCAACCTGGGCTCGAGTCACACACTTCATATACATCACAGGCACTGACCACCATCAGAAGAATGACCCGGACGACAGCTTGGCCGGTCTGAACGTAAAGCTTTCCGCAGCTCTGCGCGCTTGTTGTATGCGGTTGTCGCATCGTGCGCGACCGTGCGCTTCGTCGACCGGCACGACGATGACTCGTGTTGTCACTGCAATCTTGCGGTTGATGGTTTATATGTCACGGGAGTGGTAGCTCTGTGGATGTAACATTAACCTTAGGTGTTTTAGGCAAACCACATTGTTATCTGAAGAGAATTTTTTTTAGGGCAGAGGGGAATTGGTCTTGCCTTTCGTTTAATCAGAAATGTCATTCAGATGTTATTCAATGTCATAGAACAGGTACAGACACTGTGTCTAGTTTAGGGAGTACCAAGGCAATCATTCGGTCTAAAGACTGCTTATAAAAGCAGGACAAGCCTGGCAATTTATTACTCTGTATGTCACCCAGTTTTTTGGGAGGCATCAGAGTAAGTAAGGAGGGCAACCACGGTACTTGCTGGTAGTGTTGTTGTCAAATTCGAGTCCTGTAGCCCATGTGTGGATATTTAGTCAGTACTTGTATGGTTTTATCGTTCATGTACTCGACGAATCTACTTCATTCGTGTCCGTGTTCACGCATGATATTTGTACGTGTTCCAGGATCCCAAGATGTATGTGAGCACAATTCTGGATGTGCACAAGAAATACAATGCCCTCGTCCTGTCTGCCTTCAACAATGACGCCGGGTTTGTCGCGGCCCTAGACAAGGTAGGTGGCAGCACGTGTCACATTAACAGCCCTGACTTTTATCTGACACCGTCCTCATCATTACTTATGTGTAGAGCTGCTATCAGTTTAGCCAATTGTCACATGTGCTATTACCACACAGTCAGTTGGACATTTAGATTATTCTTAATGTTAAATTTACCCATGGACGTTATTTATTTTGTCCTCTGTATTCTCCCTCACTCCACTTTTCTGTCCGTCTTTCTAGGCTTGTGGTAAATTCATTAACAACAATGCGGTGACGAAGATGGCCAATTTGTCCAGCAAGTCACCGGAGTTGTTGGCACGATACTGTGATATTCTTCTGAAGAAGAGGTAAGCTGTGTGTTAGGTGCTGTGGGAAAAAGTATTTTTGCTGTTGCTCGATCGAGTAGCGTGTGTAGATCGACATGGTTGTGTTGCTGTGTTAAGTAAAAGTATACATTATTGCTTCGTTGACAATGTGCAAGCATTTAACAGTCATCGCTGAAAATTACCATTCTGTTGACAGTTCGAAGAATCCAGAAGAAGCAGAATTGGAAGATACATTAAATCAAGTGGTAAGTAAATGTGACTGATGATGATAGCGAGTTGGGTAATCGTTTGCTGAGGGTAGTTAGTCGTAGCAGCTGGCCTAGCATTTTACACGGTTAGTTCTATCTTGTGCTGTTAGCTTCTTTTTTTAAGGTAGGGCACAGATTTGTCTATGGCACACGTTAAACATTCACATGCAATGAGGAGGCCTTGTCTGTCTAAACTGCCGTTGCGATAATTGTAGTATTTCAGCGTAATATGAGGGGAAAAAGTGTCGGTCAGGAGGAGCGGCAGTTTCGTAGAGGTGGTGGTCTAAGCAAAAACTTGGTGGCCTCGGGCCTCCAGGTCGGCACTAATTTCGAACGCTGATTAGAGATGTGCTTACATGCGACTGGAGTCCGTATAGTCTTGCACGCAGAGCAGTTTGTGCTGCTGCTGTACGCACAATGCCAGGTAGCGCCACCTGGCTACGAGTAACGCTCACTGTCTGCGCGATTCTCCGCAGATGATCGTGTTTAAGTACATCGAAGACAAAGACGTGTTCCAGAAGTTTTACAGCAAGATGCTTGCCAAGCGGCTGGTGCAGCATATGTCAGCCAGCGACGATGCCGAAGCCAGCATGATCTCCAAACTGAAGGTACGACCGCGCGTGCGGGGCAGCGTCATCAGCTGCCACAGGGGGGCAGCATCATCAGTTGCCACAGGGGGGCAGCTTCATTAGTAGCCACAGGGGGACAGCGTCATAGGTTGCCACAGGGGGGCAGCGC